CGTGTACTGTATATGAAATCTTTATATCAACAATGTATCTCTTAAACCTTTTGTACCATATTATGTAATAAAATATACCTATTGGTAAAAAAAAGATGAAAAGATGGGGTGGTAGTGGAATATTCAAATGGCTTCAGAAAGAAATCCAAATATTCTTCCTTAAAGCCTTTTTATCCACTTCTCCGAAGCTATGGGTCCCACAATTTACGCCAGAGGTGGATCCCATCCTAATATATATATATATTTATTTATTTTTATCATCACACTGGCCGATTCCCACCAAGGCAGGGTGGCCCGAAAAAGAAAAACTTTCACCATCATTCACTCCATCACTGTCTTGCCAGAAGGGTGCTTTACACTACAGTTTTTAAACTGCAACATTAACACCCCTCCTTCAGAGTGCAGGCACTGTACTTCCCATCTCCAGGACTCAAGTCCGGCCTGCCGGTTTCCCTGAATCCCTTCATAAATGTTACTTTGCTCACACTCCAACAGCACATCAAGTATTAAAAACCATTTGTCTCCATTCACTCCTATCAAACACGCTCACGCATGCCTGCTGGAAGTCCAAGCCCCTCGCACACAAAACCTCCTTTACCCCCTCCCTCCAACCTTTCCTAGGCCGACCCCTACCCGCCTTCCTTCCACTACAGACTGATACACTCTTGAAGTCACTCTGTTTCGCTCCATTCTCTCTACATGTCCGAACCACCTCAACAACCCTTCCTCAGCCCTCTGAACAACAGTTTTGGTAATCCCGCACCTCCTCCTAACTTCCAAACTACGAATTCTCTGCATTATATTCACACCACACATTGCCCTCAGACATGACATCTCCACTGCCTCCAGCCTTCTCCTCGCTGCAACATTCATCACCCATGCTTCACACCCATATAAGAGCGTTAGTAAAACTATACTCTCATACATTCCCCTCTTTGCCTCCAAGGACAGTTCTTTGTCTCCACAGACTCCTAAGTGCACCACTCACCCTTTTCCTCTCATCAATTCTATGATTCACCTCATCTTTCATAGACCCATCCGCTGACACTTCCACTCCTAAATATCTGAATACATTCACCTCCTCCATACTCACTCCCTCCAATCTGATATCCAATCTTTCATCACCTAATCTTTTTGTTATCCTCATAACCTTACTCTTTCCTGTATTCACTTTTAATTTTCTTCTTTTGCACACCCTAAACCCAAAATTCATCCACCAATCTCTGCAAAATTCTCTTCAGAATCTCCCAAGAGCACAGTGTCATCAGCAAAGAGCAACTGTGACAACTCCCACTTTATGTGTGATTATCTTTTAACTCCACGCCTCTTGCCAAGACCCTCGCATTTACTTCTCTTACAACCCATCTATAAATATATTAAACAACCACGGTGACATCACACATCCTTGTCTAAGGCCTACTTTTACTGGGAAATAATTTCCCTCTTTCCTACATACTCTAACTTGAGCCTCACTATCCTCGTAAAAACTCTTCACTGCTTTCAGTAACCTACCTCCTACAAACCCTACACCTGCAACATCTGCCACATTGCCCCCCCTATTCACCCTGTCATACGCCTTTTCCAAACTCATAAATGCCACAAAGACCTCTTTAGCCTTATCTAAATACTGTTCACTTATATGTTTCACTGTAAACACTGGTCCACACACCCCCTACCTTTCCTAAAGCCTCCTTGTTCATTTGCTATCCTATTCTCCGTCTTACCCTTAATTCTTTCAATAATAACTCTACCATACACTTTACCAGGTATACTCAACAGACTTATCCCCCTATAATTTTTGCACACTCTTTTGTCCCCTTTGCCTTATACAAAGGAACTATGCATGCTCTCTGCCAATCCCTAGGTACCTTACCCTCTTTCATACATTTATTAAATAATTGCACCAACCACTCCAAAACTATATCCCCACCTGCTTTTAACATTTCTATCTTTATCCCATCAATCCCGGCTGCCTTACCCCCTTTCATTTTACCTACTGCCTCACGAACTTCCCCACACTCACAACTGGATCTTCCTCACTCCTACAAGATGTTATTCCTCCTGCCCTATACACGAAATCACAGCTTCCCTATCTTCATCAACATTTAACAATTCCTCAAAATATTCCCTCTATCTTCCCAATACCTCTAACTCTCCATTTAATAACTCTCCTCTCCTATTTTAACTGACAAATCCATTTGTTCTCTAGGCTTCCTAACTTGTTAATCTCACTCCAAAACTTTTTCTTATTTTCAACAAAATTTGTTGATAACATCTCACCCACTCTCTCATTTCCTCTCTTTTTACATTGCTTCACCTCTCTCTTTTTCTCCATATACCCTTCCCTCCTTGCATCATATATATATATATATATATATATATTATATATATATATATAAATATATATATATATATATATATATAATTATTTTTTTAACACATCGGCCGATTCCCACCAAGGCAGGGTGACCCGAAAAAGAAAAACTTTCATCATTCACTCCATCACTGTCTTGCCAGAAGGGTGCTTTACACTACAGTTATAAAACTGCAACATTAACACCCCTTCTTCAGAGTGTAGACACTGTACTTCACATCTCCTGGACTCAAGTCCGGCCCGCTGGTTTCCTTGAATCCCTTCATAAATGTTACTTTGCTCACACTCCAAGAGCACGTCAAGTATTAACCATTTGTCTCCATTCACTATCATATACGCTCACGCACGCTTGCTGGAAGTCTAAGCCCCTCGCACACAAAACCTCCTTTACCCCCTCCCTCCAACCCTTCCTAGGCCGACCCCTACCCCGCCTTCCCTCCACTACAGATTTATACACTCTCGAAGTCATTCTGTTTTGTTCCATTCTCTTTACATGTCCGAACCACCTCAACAACCCCTCCTCATCCCTCTGGATAATAGTTTTGGTAATCCCCCACCTCCTAATTTCCAAACTACGAATTCTCTGCATTATATTCACACCACACATTGCCCTCAGACATGACATCTCCACTGCCTCCAGCCTTCTCGTTCCAACATTCATCACCCATGCTTCACACCCATACAAAAGTATTGGTACAACTATACTCTAATACATTCCCCGCTTTGCTTCCATGGACAAAGTTCTTTGTCTCCACAGACTCCTAAGTGCACCACTCACCCTTTTCCCCTCATCAATTCTATGATTCACCTCATCCTTCACAGACCTACTTGCTGACACGTCCACTCCCAAATATCTGAATACATTCGCCTCCTCCATACTCTCTCCCTCCAATCTGATATCCAATCTTTCGTCACCTAATCTTTTTGTTTTCCTCATAACCTTACTCATTCCTATATTCACTTTTAATTTTCTTCTTTTACATACCCTACCAAATTCATCCACCAACCTCTGCAACTTCTCTTCAGAATCTCCCAAAAGCACAGTGTCATCAGCAAAGAGCAACTGTGGCAACTCCCACTTTGTGTTTGATTCTTTGTCTTTTAACTCCACACCTTTTGGTAAGACCCTCGCATTCACTTCTCTTACAACCCCATCTATAAATATATTGAATAACCACGGTGACATCACACATCCTTGTCTAAGGCCTACTTTTACTGGGAAATAATCTCCCTCTTTCTTACATACTCTAATTCTTACATACTCTAATCTGTAAGCCTTCTCCCTGAAAGCCGGCTGCTTTGGATCAAAGTCTAGCGCAAGCTGGACTCCAAGGTATTGTCCAGTGTGAGTAGATTGGTAAAGCACTGCGTACCTTGTTCCAATGTTCGTAGGTTCGAGTCTCCTTCAGCCAGAGATCAGTGTTATATATATTATATATATATATATATATATATATATATATATATTTGTGTGTGTGAGTATATTGTATATCTTTGTGTATTGTCCTGATGAAGCTTGTTCTGTAACTTAAGTCTTTTCTCTATCCTCGTGTAGTCGGTTGATATTAAACCTTAATGAGCCAACCAACCATTTTTATGTGATTTTTCGCCACATCAAATTATTTACTTAGGTAAACATAACATACGTCTCCTTGAGATATACCCCCCCCCCATGTCCCCACCGCTCACTCACACCTCTAATAAATTCATGTAAGCAAAACAAAAAATTTGTATAATATTTCAAAGTGCATTTACAAAGTCTTCAGAGTTTGAATCTCTACGTGGCATTGTTAGTTGTATCTGGGTGGCTGTGTTGCTTCTTCACCCAGCAAACAAGGCATCGTTTATTATTGCGTCCCTGGATGTTCTAGTGTCTTGGCAATGATCTAGGAGACTCATCTACAGATCCCTGTAAGGATTTACCTTTTACCTGCTAACCTCTTCCCGTCGCTCTCAGTTATGGAAAACTGCGCACTGGACATATATTGTCATCTCGTACAGAAATGTTGGACACCTCTGGGATAATTACCAGGTCTCATCGACATTTAAACTCGGCTTAATTTGACTTTTTTGTTTACAGAGCTTGTATAATTTATTTCCATTTTTTCAGCTGTGTGATCACTCGTGCTTGCTGTCATCAGAGATTCTCCAAGATTTCTTAACAAAAACTGACTTACTGCGCCAACTTTCACTATGTTGTTTGGCACATAAACACAATTTTTTTTAACACTTTTCACAACCGTCAGTACCCCTCCATCATCATGCACTCATTCGTGTGCACGTACACACACACTTCAATACAAACACGTACACAGAGGTATTTTCTTACGTAAGATATATTGTTAGTGTGTGTCCGAGTAACTGTAGCCTTACACGGTATGTGCAATGAATCCCTCTGACCTGTGATAGGAAACAGTCCGTCATCCTATACAACCAGTGTGTGCTTCCAATCACAATTTATCCCGTGTTTATCATGTAACCGTTAACATTCATTTCATACTTTTAAGTGCATTTCAAAGGGATTCCTTGTAAAGGTGAAAGGCTTTTGATTCAACGCATTGCACAACAGGAGTGTTATTCATTATCATTACCACCATAACTTCAGTGTGTGTAGTCTCCCCCGCAGAACGGCCGCTGGGTGGAGAACTCGAGAGTTGGGTTTCCCAGCAGCATTCTCTACCAAGACTTTCTACCTCTGAAGGATCCGGATTTCTCCACATGCTGTTCCAACGTCTATCAGAGCTTCAGGTAGGTGTTGTTTTACACTAGCCACACCTCCAGGTGGGTCTTGCTTTCAATTTATCAGAAAAAAAAATGGATTAAACAGAAACGGATTTCAGGTCAGGATGATCTTGTGCATTCAACCTGATAACTTTTTGTTATGGCAGTCACGAAATGGAGATGGATAAATTGACACTATTTCTATTATAAAAGTTGTTCATACAGTTGGTTATGATACATCATAATAAGAGTTGTTGATACAGTTGCTTCATCATACATTATCCTCGGAACTGTACACTTCACTAAATCAAAGACTCTTTGCTAGAAATATTTTTTGTGGAATTTTTAGGGTATGTCTGCGTGAAAGAATGATTTGATGAGAGTGAAGGTCGCCTCATTCAAGGAAATGAAGTTACATTTCACCTTAAGGGTTTAACACCTCCTATTTAACATGATAATGGCATGCAGGGAATAGCAGCAGTCATGATGAGAGTACAATTATCATCATTGGAATGTGTTAGCTGTGAGCCGCTACCCCAGCCACTACTTGACTGACTTATTTTGTGAACTTCTAAACCTGTAGGGTACTTCAGCGTAAGGGATTGAGGGACTGACCACCTTCTACCAAGACTGAGGGACTGACCACCTTCTACCAAGACTGAGAGACTGACCACCTTCTACCAAGACTGAGAGACTGACCACCTTCTACCAAGACTGAGGGACTGACCACCTTCTACCAAGACTGAGGACTGACCACCTCTACCAAACTGAGGGGCTGACCACCTTCTACCAAGACTGAGGGACTGACCACCTTCTACCAAGACTGAGGGACTGACCACCTTCTACCAAGACTGAGGGACTGACCACCTTCTACCAAGACTGAGGGACTGACCACCTTCTACCAAGACTGAGGGACTGACCACCTTCTACTGTCTCCAGTGTTGTAGTCGTCTGTATTCGAGTGAAGAATCCTGTTTTTGTTTCAAGAAAGTCCAATCTGATACAAAAACCAATAAAATTCTCACAATGGCATGTAAACAATTTAACTGTTTAGAGTTAGAAACACCAGCCTTTAAGAGTCTGAAGCCTACCAAAAGAGACATTTCTCTGGTTATTTCATGAAAATCAGTTTATTTAATAAAATCAGCAGTTTAAAGTTTACGGTGCTGAAAGTGAAAGCTTTATTTTGATAAAACCCATCAACACTTAAAGTTTGAAACCTGTCAAAAAGGCATTCTCCAGAAATTGATCTTAATCCAACGATTGCAAGTTTAACAGTTTCATTAAAGTTTCATATCTGCAGCTGAAGTGTTAACTTACTGAATCACCGTTAACATTTTGAAACCCATAAGACGAGGCCTTCTTTCAGTACTGTATAAAAATTAATGTTCTTATTAATAGCAACTACCCTTGTGGGTTTAGCGCTCACTGCTGAGTGTCTAGTAATAATAATAATAATAAAAGTGGAAAATTGGTACTTATTAATATCGGAAAATTGGTACTTATTAATATCGGAAAATTGGTACTTATTAATATCGGAAAATTGGTACTTATTAATATCGGCAAATTGGTATACTTATGTAGCCCTAATATCACAAACCTTGCTTTTTGGAAAACAGTAGAGCTAAAAATTTGAAGCCGATCAGAAGAGGCATTCTTCAGTTATCACACGAATTCCAGTGATTCCAAGCTTTATTAAAAAAAAACTGGTGCCTTGACAAGTGTGTCGGCACACAAACTAAACTTACTATGTACTGTCTTGGTCGTAAGATGCATTAACTATTTAGTATTTAAACCATTCAGAAGAGGTCGACTCAAATACACTTAACGTGACTAAATGGGAGTCTAAATTTCACTCGATTTCGCACATAAAATCGGCAGATGTGCATCTACACACTTGAACGTCACTCTCACCAGTGTCCAGTTACATTTAAGCTTCGCTACTGAGGATTTTGTAAGTTTCCAGAGCCATTTCATGATTCTGGGAATGGGTTCCACAACTATGGTCATAGAACACATGCCCATGTCAGTTCTTCAAAGAATCTTGGCCTAGTTACCGTACACCAGTGATGAAAATTTGATATCGATCGCATGAGAGCTTCTCGTGTTACGAGCGAAATAAAAGCGAAAACTTGAAGGAAGAAAAAATCAGGCAAGATCTTATATGTCTCTCCTCGGGGATACCTAAGAACTACATTAATATGTTTAATAACTACCTGGCACTATGCTTTTATTTAGTATAAGATTTCGAGCACCATAGTGAAAAACTAAACGTAGTTCCTTCGGGCTTTCATGGGCTTAGACGCACATCTTCAGAGGCACAGGAAGACAAATCAGAAGTGCATCTGAATAAGAATATTTCTTTCTATAAAGTTGCATAATGAAGAAATAGTTGACATTATTGTCATAGTATATAGAAAGTCTCTCGTTATGTAGAGCATTTTGGCCAACCTTAAAATTAACCTATAACTACTGACATATATAATTATGTTGGTTTACTTGAATGTTAAAGTTTACAATCTCACACATTAACAGTTTGGTTTATGATTATAACTTTGTATTTTTTTTTTTTTATAAAGTTATAATTTGAAGAGTAGTGGTCAACAGTGTTAAATCGGAAGCTGCAATAGTGAAAAGCTGTTCCACAAGGCACAGTACTCGCCCCCATCCTGTTCTTCATCTTCATATCAGACATAGACAGAGATGTAATCCACAGCACCGTATCATCCTTTGCGGATGATACTAGGATCTGCATGAGGCTGTCATCTGCTGAGGACGCGGTTAACCTCCAAGAAGATATAAGCAAAGTTTTCCAATGGGCAACGGAAAACAATATGACGTTCAGTGAAAACAAATTCCAACTACTCTGTTATGGAAAATTGGAGGAGATAATAACTAGAACTGAGTATACTACAAACTGATCATACAACAGAGCGGAAAAATAATGTGAGGGACCTGGGAGTGGTAATGTCTGCGGATCTTTCAAGGATTGCAACAGTGCCACGATCACAACTGCAAAGAATATGATAGGATGAATAATGAAAACGTTCAGAATAAGAGATGCCAAGCCAATGATAATCCTTTTCAAATCACTTGTTCTCTCTTGGCTAGGATATTGCTGTATATTAACATCTCCGTTCAAAGCAGGTGGAATCGCAGATCTAGAGAGAGTACAGAGATCCTTTACTGCACATATAAGCTCCATCAAACACCTCAACTACTGGGAACGCTTGGAAGCACTTGATTATACTCCCTGGAACACAGGCGAAAGAGATATATCATAATCTACACTTGGAAAATCCAAGGAATGGTCCCTAATCTGCACACAAAAATCACTCCCTACGAAAGTAAAAGACTGGGCAGGCGATGAAAAATGCCCGCACTGAAAAGTAAGGGGCGCCATTGGTACATTAAGAGAAAACACCATAAGTGTCCGGGGCCCAGACTGTTCAACAGCCTCCCACCAGGCATAAGGGGAATTACCACTAGGCCCCTGGCTGCCTTCAAGAGGGAGCTGAACAGATAGTGCCAGATCAGCCGGGCTGTGGTTCGTACGTTGGACTACGTGCGACCAGCGGTAACAGCTTTTTTGATAAGGCCTTGATCTACCGGGAGGTCTAGTCGTGGACTGGGCCGCGGGGGCGTTGATCCCCCGGAATAACCTCCAGGTAGACTCCAGGTGTGTCATTATTTTAGGTCATACCTCAAAATTTTATGATTTAAAATGAGAAAAATTACAGGTGAATTACATTTAGGGTTGCATCAGTGCAAATTTGTCAATTTTATAAAAGCAAATATCGCAGCGGTTTCTGTGCGATAACTTGAAAACGCCTCTTGGACTGGTTTCAAACTTTCACCATAGCACAAGTGGGTGGACACATTACATTTACTTGCATTTTCAAAACAAAATTTAAAGGGCCCTTGAAAAGAAAATATAGGAGGAATTGTTAGAGTTCGCTTCGGATGAGTGATAACTGGATGGCAGTGCTACAAAATACGTAGTCTGTTACGGCATATTGGCGGAATAAGGTGGAGCCTAACCTTGCTCACCTCTATCCTGAAGCCTGGTCTACCCCGAAGCCTGGGCCAGGGCTACTCGGTTGTCAGTACTATACAGTAGCGGGCTGTCCAGCCGGGCGGCGTGTCACGTGACACAGTAACGATCAGAGAGGCCCTGTATGGGTGAACACTAGAGAGTACAGACTGGAGTACATATTACTGACAGAATAAATGTCTTATTATCTCAGTGACCTCAAGGGTCTTAATGCCGGTGAAGGGTTCTTGATGCTAGGAGAAACCCCTCTTCTTCCCTTCCTTGGATCCTCACCTCCTCATGAGCTGTGTAACCCCTACAACTTTAGCGCTTCCCTCTAAATAATAAGAATGGAGTAAGTTTTTTTCTTAAGCAGTGATGAGAGAGAGGAAAACTGCACCAAGTCTCGCCATGTTTTTATGCAAGTTACTTACTTGAATGTATGTGTGTATATTATATATATATATATATATATATATATATATATATATAATATATATATATATATATATATATATATATATATAATATGGAATTCAACATTGGATGGAAAATGTAATTCAGCATTGTTAAGAATCACGTACTGTACTAAGAAAGGAAGAATAGGTGGCACGTAACGGTGAAGGAAGGAGGTACAAGCAGGACCAGTAAAGAATATATATTTCGTGATAAAATCCTCAAAATGTGGGTTAGATAGTGATCTAGGAATAATTCTAGACAACAGGTAATCACAGGAAAATCACACTGTTGCGGCAGTGAGACACACACACACACACACACAACACACACACACACACACATCACTGCAAAACTTCATATCTATATAAACGGTAAATGCTGAAAATGAAACTGTTTACAACAGATACATGTGAAATTTTAGCTACAATATGCATATAATTAACAGAACTGATGTTATTTTGTGCATAAACCTACAAATTATTATTATTTTAAATCAAACTTGCTCACCAAACTGCATTTGAAGGGTAAAATTGAGCAAATTTCTCATTCACACACGCTCACAAAACCTGCCTCATTGTCTGTCATCAGAGCCGACAGGTGGCAGCATTTTAGAGGCCACTGTGTGACTGTCACTCAGACGAAGTCGCTAGGTGACCCTCAGTAAGCCCAGTGTAATTATATTGGAGAGTGCCAAGGAAGGCAATGCCAGCGTAGCACGCGACCTCTAACACGCTGCCAGTTGGGTCAGCTCTCAGTCATTGTTGACTTAATACTACTAAAGTTATTTACATCTAGTGAAGCGTATGATTCTGCTGGGGTTATTTAGTTTCGTTGGGAATTTTCAGTAGTTCTGTCAAGGAATTTAATTCTGCCAAAGGATTTAGTTCGGCTGAGAGGTAGGCGTATGGTGGGTACTCCAGCGTGTAGTGGGTACTCAAGCGTGTGGTGGGTACTCCAGCATGTGGTGGGTACTCAAGCGTGTGGTGGGTACTCCAGCGTGTGGTGGGTACTCCAATGTGTGGTGGGTACTCCAGCGTGCAGTGGGTATTCCAGCGTGTGGTGGGTACTTCAATGCGTGGTGGGTGCTCCAGCGTGTAGTGGGTACTCCAGCGTGTGGTGGGTACTGCAATGTGTGGTGGGTACTGCAATGTGTGGTGGGTATTCCAGCGTGTGGTGGGTACTTCAATGCGTGGTGGGTGCTCCAGCGTGTAGTGGGTACTCCAGCGTGTGGTGGGTACTCCAGCGTGTGGTGGGTACTCCAGCGTGTGGTGGGTACTTCAGCGTGTGGTGGGTACTTCAGCGTGTGGTGGGTACTCCAGCGTGTGGTGGGTACTCCAGCGTATGGTGGGTACTTCAGCGTGTGGTGAGTACTTCAGCGTGTGGTGGGTACTCCAACGTGTGGTGGGTACTCCAGTGTGTGGTGGGTACTTCAGCGTGTGGTGGGTACTTCAGCGTGTGGTGGGTACTTCAGCGTGTGGTGGGTACTCCAGCGTGGTGGGTACTCCAGCGTGTGGTGGGTACTTCAGCGTGTGGTGGGTACTTCAGCGTGTGGTGGGTACTCCAGCGTATGGTGGGTACTCCAGCGTGTGGTGGGTACTTCAGCGTGTGGTGGGTACTCCAGCGTATGGTGGGTACTCCAGCGTGTGGTGGGTACTTCAGCGTGTGGTGGGTTCTTCGGTTAGGCACTAGGCATCGGCTGCCCCTTCTGAAAGGTGCCAGACTTCCCTTGCTGTTGCGAGGTGGGAACTGACTTCCCTTGCTGTGGTGAGGTGGGACCAGACCTCTCTTGCTGCTGTGAGGGAAGACCAGACATCCCTTATTCTTGTGCCCGCGTCGCGTTACTCTTGTGCAGAAGCTCTCAGGTGAGTCTACATGGGATAGAAAGATGAAGGACAACTCTACTCAGCCATAGTGATGAGCCAGGTACTTGCCACGCGCTCTCTTAAGAGCTATAACCATAGGCGGTGGTGTTTCATGTCAGGAAACAACACAATGTCTTCTGACACGGGGCTTCGTCAGATGACCCGTTCATTAGTTAGGTGTTCGTTGGCTTACCACAGCTATATTATTAAACCCCATTCTTACAGCACAGACAAAGGATCGCTACACAGAGGAATGAAAGTTAGAATACCGTGGCTTGAAAATTTCACAAATAACCCGTACTTGAAGAGGGAGCTTATAACGACGTTTCGGTCCATCCTGAACTATTGTCAAGTCACAGCTAATAGAGCAATATATAGTGTATTCTAAGATAAGATATTAATACCCTTACAAGTATCTTGAAGACAATGTGTGATCAGATATTTTATCTGAAGGGCGTGTTAAGTCTCTGGTGTTACCTCCAGAGAACATCGCCGAAATTGATATATACTCCAGTATTGCACATCTGTCTTATTCATCAACTTGTATTTTATACCATTAACAATTATGATATTTGTATGACACAAGAACACCATAATATCTTGGTACAGGGGAAGTCTTCTGCGTCTTGTATGCTGAACAACTGTTAAGCATGACGTACTTCCAGGAGGGGCGCAAGAATTTCTATACTGGGGAGGCTTATGGGTGGCTCTCTGGCTGGAAGGGAAGGGGGGGGGCAAGGAGAGTTGTTTTTAAGCAGCGTTAGTATTACTATTTTCATTTAGGGGGGCTGAGGAAATTTTTGGGGTTGCCTTCAGCCCCTTTCTTAAGCCCGCCCTCCCTCCCATGGTGCCGCCACTGTCTATTTCCACTGTTGGGCCACGCTCAATAATGACATCAACTCCAGCTGCTTCATTTCACTTCTGCTGTAGTACAGTATGTAAGGTCTGGCTACATGCCCATTCCTTAGGCTTGAGGAACTGACCACCTCAAAGCTAGAGTGAAGGACTGATCACGTCAAAACTATTACAACTGGTCCCAGTGTTTTAGTATCTGTATTCGACTGAAACTTGTTGTGTGATCAGCAGATGTTATATTTGAGGGGCGTGTGTTAGCACTTTCTGGTGCTTCTTGCAGAGAGTGTCGACAGGTATTCACGTCTTCAACTATATTTTGGTAAGTGTAGTGAATGACACATATCTGGTAGCCAGTAAATATTCTAACATGGTGCTTTCATTTCTCTCGTTACTACAGAGATATTGACTTGTGAGTTAAGACTGCCCTCTCTCTCTCTCTCTGTCTGTCTGTCTGTCTGTCTGTCTGTCTGTCTATCTGTCTCTCTCTCTCTTTCAAAACTTATATCAAAACATACATCTCAACTTCAGTTTGGTCTTAAGCTTCGTCCGTAAATGAGCTGTTACCTACCACAGCTCATTTACAGACGAAGAGGTGTTACCTACCTTAGCTTATTTATAAACTAAGAGTTATTACGTTCCTCGGTTCATTTCAAAGTTCATCCTTATTTAATGATTGCTACCATCGCCACACGCTGTCATCCACTACAATCCACTAATACCAAGGTATCTATTTGTTTTTAAGTAAACATTGACAACAGGTGTATTGAACGGATCCCTACGGCTCTCGCTAACAATTTAACCCAGTTGCTTCAATTGTGAGCCGTTGGCGTTACCACCGAGCTACGAGCCACCTTATTTTAAGTTTTGGTGCTTATGTTATTCTGGAATTTCAAAAGGAAAATATAATTTTATTTTTCTTGTTATTGTTGGTGTTATAGGGCCACTGGCAGCTTCCGCCGTATCAAGTTCTATTTATGGTTGGAGAACATTAATGGTGATACTGGCAGTATGTAAATAAAAGCACATGCACAGATTAAGAAACTGTTGAGGAAACGTTTCACCCTGAATGGCTTCTTCAGTCCTCTTATTGAGGAAACGTTTCGCATTAAGGGCTGGAGAAACTACACGTTACGAAATATTTCCTCAGTAAAACCGGACCAAAGAAGTTGCTCGTGGCGAAACGTTTCCTCTATAAATGTAGCGATCGTGATCAAACTTAATTGACCATGTGGTTGTGTTTGAGGAGGATGTGTTGTTTAATGAAATTGTGGTGTTTCAGCGAGACTGTGCAGCGAGCTAATGAGTGGTTAAGCCATCGTCAGGGATACGAGGTGATCACCTGCGAAAGCCTGGCTTGTAACTCCTCCGAGATACCCTCCTACCTGGCTGACTCCTGGCCTCGTACCTCACACCTCAGGTATGTCTATCTGGCTGACTTCTGGCCGCGCACCTACACCTCAGGTATGTCTACCTAGCCTCGTACCTCACACCTTAGGAGAGAACTGGATGAGGATTCACTTATTCTTCAGGCTGTAAACTAACTAAAAGTGTGAGACAGTGTGACCTTTGAAAAATAACAAAACAGTTCCCAAGCCATGCTTAGTGAATGGAAGGTTGAACCTTAACAAACATGGGTTTAACACCTCGTAAATTATTATAGCCTTCGACCCATTAGCTCAAAACATTTGAAGCAAAAAAGCACGATAAACACTCGAATATCATGAAGTATGAAATTGGGTAAAGATGCTTTGGCTATAAACAATGAATTATGGTTTTAAAAAGTATGCCAGGGTAATGGATAGTATCCTGTGGCTTATCACAGGCAGTCACTTTGTATAGTAGTGTTTGGGAGATAAGTAAAAAAAAAGTTCTTGGTTAATAGTTCCTATCATAGTTGAGTGTCTGGTCAGACAACTAATAATATATTATCGAACGACCAGTGGCTGAGAGATAGCTTGTCTGCTTGCTGCTTATATTACGCTCGGTAACTGTTTCTTGTAACTCCCTGCTGCTGAAAATGTGAGAGTTTACACCTGAATGAATCCTTGTTTCACAGTCAGTGACTGAGCGGTAAAACATCTGTCTGCTGCTGCTCAGAATGTGAGGTTTTTCAGCTGTATGACATACTGTTTTATGCTCTGTAGCTGTGTGATAGCAAGCCTGTACCCGCTGCTCATCTCATGAGATATAAGTCAAAATAAATAAGATTACAGGGGTACAGGGGGTCTCAGTCTTTTTTTCACACACACCCTGTCAATGAACCCAATTTACCTCTGTCTCCACCAGTGACTAAGACCAGTCCCCCTCCACAGGGGTTTGAGAGTGTGGCTGAGGAGTCCCTCTGAGGAGGAGCCCGCAGAGACGGGTGTCCGCTCTCTGCTCAGTTACCGAGACTTCACACCGTACCTGGACAGGAAAAACCTCTTCAGCCGTGACTACGAAGATACAGGCGTCCTGCTGGAGCGTCTTAACGCCTACCTTGAGAACCGCACCGTCAGGGCCCGCATCCTCGCCCTGGAGACACTGGTATGTGAGTCCTTAGGCTTCATAACTGTTTAACTGTTTTTTTTACAAGGGTCTTGTGAGCACACGTGCGTAATGGGTGTACATTATGTAGATTTGACTTGGGAAAACTAAGTAAAGTCACACTATGTGATTACACAAACCCTCTCCTCCCTCACTACTCGCCCTCTCCTCCCTACATGCCTGATGTTGGTTATTTTAACATAGTGTGAGTATCTGTGATGTTCTTACAAGTGTTGTATTGAATTTCTTGTTGCCTGGAAAGCTGAATTATCGCCCAGGTTAAGCGGAGTGGTAAACCAGTGCTAGATAATTGACCTGTAAGCCAATGGATAATAAACTATAACACTGATACAGAACTAGGATAAACCAGCCACCTAGCGGACGTCCACCTGTTCAGCAGGTCTACTGAGTATTCCGTGTCAGGAGACACTTGCATCATAGATACAAACACTGAGAGTCAAGAGCTTGTTTGATACAAGCATAGAGAGTTAAGGGCTTGTTAGAAATATCGAGAGTTCAGTGAGTAGTAGTGAATAAAACTCGAGTGTTTCTCCTCTCACTGCAGGACACGCCCATGAGTGGTTTGCTTGACATAGAGATGGACACAGAGAAGTCATCACTCACCTTCTCTCAGCACGGCTTTACCAAGTATGTACTGCGTGTATTCACACCTATACATACTCACCTGTATGTGGCATCAGGGGTCGAGTGTGTGTGTGTTTACAGGAAGTTTAATGTGCTTCATATTTTGATTGTTACTAAACGGGTTGCAGTCTTAATGACTCTCGAACAGTCGATGGATGTTGAAGCTCACAAATTAAGTGTATTGTCAGGTACTGTCGGTCGCTGAGAGCATTCTTCGTGACGCAGTACAATAAGAGACCCCACGACACCAAGGGCTCAGATATAATACCCAAGATCGGCCTCTTGGACTTCATCCCCAAGAATAAACCCGAAGGACTCGCGAGGTAAGCTGTAGTGGTGGTGATGATGGTGGCAAAGTAATGGGTGTTGGGATGTATGGTGTGTGCTGTGTTGGGTGTTAGCACATTATGCTGGGTAGTAGTAGTAATAGTTAAAGAGTTGGGTCAGAACGTATACACTACTAGTCATTTTCTACAATTCATTGCCTTTCAGTCTCCCATGGGATAGTTAACTTTGCCCAAAACATCCCAATCCTAAGCACTATAAAGAGTGCTCGAAACGTCTTTCCTCTGAATTTGTAACCAATAAACTACTTGTAATAAACCACAACTGGACTTTCGGCCATTCTCACTCAATCGTTATTGTTTGTGAAAAACAGTATTATATCCACTACACACTGGTCACACTCACCACTACACACTGGTTACACTACTACACACTGGTCACACTCACCACTACACACTGGTCACACTCACTACACACTGGTTACACTATTACACACTGGTCACATTCACCACTACACACTGGTCACACTACACACTGGTCACACTACACACCACTACACACTGGTCACACTCACCACTACACACTGGTCATACTCACCACTACACACTGGTCATACTCACCACTACACACTGGTCATACTCACCACTACACACTGGTCACACTCACCACTATACACTGTTAGGAAGTATTTTTTAAGTCAGAGTCGTCAGGAAGTTGAACAGCCTAGCAAGTGACGTAGTGGAGGCAAGAACCATACATAACTTTAAGACGAGGTATGACGAAGCTCAGGAGGCAGAGAGAGGACCTATTAGCGATCAGTGAAGAGGCGGGGCCAGGAGCTGAGTCTCGACCCCTACAAAGACAATTAGGTGAGTACACTGGTCACACTCATCACTACACACTGGTCACACCACTATGCACTGGACACACTCAACACTACACACTGGTCACACTCAATTCACTGGTCACACCATTACACACTGGTCACACTCACTACTACACACTGGTCACACCACTACACAGGTCACACTCACCACTACACACTGGTCACACTCACCACTACACACTGGTCACACTCACCACTACACGCTGGTCACACTCACCACTACAATGGTCACACCACTACACTGGTCAAATTCACCACTACACACTGGTCACACTCAAAACTGCACAATGGTCACACTCACCACTACACACTGGCCACATTAATACACACTGGTCACACCACTACGCACTAGTCACACTATTACACACTGGCCACACTCACCACTGTACTGGTCACACCACTACACATTGGTCACACTCACCACTACACACTAGTAACACCACTACACACTGGTCACACTCACCACTACACGCTGGTCACACTCACTACAATGGTCACACCACTACACTGGTCAAATTCACCACTACACACTGGTCACACCACTGCACAATGGTCACACTCACCACTACACACTGGCCACATTAATACACACTGGCCACATTAATACACACTGGTCACACCACTACGCACTAGTCACACTATTACACACTGGCCACACTCACCACTACACTGGTCACACCACTACACACTGGTCAGACCACTACACACTGGTCACACTCACCACTACACACTGGTCACACTCACTACACACTGGTCACACCACTACACACTAGTCACACCACTACACTGGTCACACCACTACACACTAGTCATACTCACCACTACACATTGGTCACACTCACCACTGTACTGGTCACACCACTACACATTGGTCACACTCACCACTACACACTAGTAACACCACTACACACTAGTCACACCACTACACACTAGTCACACTCACCACTACACATTGGTCACACTCACCACTACACATTGGTCACACTCACCACTACACTGGTCACACCACTACACTGGTCACACCACTACACACTAGTCACACTATTACACACTAGTCACACTTACCACTACACACTGGTCACACTCACCACTATACATTGGTCACACCGCTACACACTGGTCACACCACTACACACTTGTTACACCACTACGCATTAGTCACACTCACTACTACACACTTGTCACACCACTACACACTTCTTACACCACTATACACTGGTCACACTCACCACTACACACTTGTTACACCAGTACACACTAGTCACACTCACCACTACACACTTGTTACACCACTACACGCTAGTCACACTCACCACTACACACTTGTCGCACTCACCACTACACACTTGTTACACCAATACACACTAGTCACACTCACCACTACACACTTGTTACACCACTACACACTGGTCACACTCACCACTACACACTGGTCACACTCACCACTACACACTGGTCACACTCACCACTACACGCTGGTCACACTAATCACTACAATGGTCACACCACTACACTGGTCAAATTCACCACTACACACTGGTCACACTCACCACTGCACAATGGTCACACTCACCACTACACACTGGTCACATTAATACACACTGGCCACACCACTACGCACTAGTCACACTATTACACACTGGTCACACTTACCACTACACACTGGTCACACTCACCACTATACATTGGTCACACTGCTACACACTGGTCACACTCACCACTACACTGGTCACACCACTACACACTGGTCACACCACTACACTGGTCACACTCACTACACACTGGTTACACCACTACACACTGGTCACATTCACCACTACACTGGTCACACTCACCACTACACACTGGTCACATTAATACACACTGGCCACACCACTACGCACTAGTCACACTATTACACACTGGTCACACTTACCACTACACACTGGTCACACTCACCACTATACATTGGTCACACTGCTACACACTGGTCACACTCACCACTACACTGGTCACACCACTACACACTGGTCACACCACTACACTGGTCACACTACACACTGGTTACACCACTACACACTGGTCACATTCACCACTACACTGGTCACACTCACCACTATACACTGTTAGGAAGTATTTTTTAAGTCAGAGTCGTCAGGAAGTTGAACAGCCTAGCAAGTGACGTAGTGGAGGCAAGAACCATACATAACTTTAAGACGAGGTATGACGAAGCTCAGGAAGCAGAGAGAGGACCTATTAGCGATCAGTGAAGAGGCGGGGCCAGGAGCCGAGTCTCGACCCCTGCAAAGACAATTAGGTGAGTACACTGGTCACACTCATCACTACACACTGGTCACACCACTATGCACTGGATACACTCACCACTACACCGGTCACACTCACCATTACACACTGGTCACGCCACTACACTGGTCACACTCACCACTACACCGGTCACACTCGCCACTACACACTGGTCACACTCACCACTACACGCTGGTCACTCACCACTGCACAATGGTCACACCACTACACACTGGCCACATTAATACACACTGGTCACACCACTACGCACTAGTCTCGCTATTACACACTGGCCACAATCACCACTACACTGGTCACACCACTACACACTGGTCCCACTCACCACTACACACTGGTCACACTCACCACTACACACTGGTCACACCACTACACACTAGTCATACAACTACACATTGGTCACACTCACCACTGTACTGGTCACACCACTACACATTGGTCACACTCACCACTACACACTAGTAACACCACTACACACTAGTAACACCACTACACACTAGTCACACCACTACACACTAGTCACACCACTACACACTAGTCACACTCACCACTACACATTGGTCACACTCACCACTACACTGGTCACACCACTACACTGGTCACACCACTACACACTAGTCACACTCACCACTACACACTTGTTACACCACCTCACACTAGTCACACTCACCACTACACACTGGTCACACCACTACACACTGGTCACACCACTACACTGGTCACACCACTACACACTAGTCACACTCACCACCACACACTTGTCGCACAACTACACACTGGTCACACCACTGCACACTGGTCACACCACTACACACTGGTCACACCACTACACACTAGTCACACTCACCACCACACACTTGTCGCACCACTACACACTGGTTACACCACTACACATTAGTCACACTCACTACTACACACTGGTCACACCACTACACACTTCTTACACCACTATACACTGGTCACACTCACCAATATACACTGGTCACACTCACCACTACACACTTGTTACACCACTACACACTAGTCACACTCACCACTACACACTTGTCACACTCACCACTACACACTTGTCACACTCACCACTACACACTTGTCACACTCACCACTACACACTTGTCACACTCACCACTACACACTTGTCACACTCACCACTACACACTTGTCACACTCACCACTACACACTTGTTACACCACTACACGCTAGTCACACTCACCATTACACACTGGTCACACTCACCACTACACACTTGTTACACCACTACACGCTAGTCACACTCACCATTACACACTGGTCACACTCACCACTACACACTGGTCACACTCACCACTATACACTGGTCACTCACCACTACACGCCGGTCACACTAATCACTACAATGGTCACACCACTACACTGGTCAAATTCACCACTACACTCTGGTCACACTCACCACTACACACTGGTCACATTAATACACACTGGCCACAGCACTACGCACTAATCACACTATTACACACTGGTCACACTTACCACTACACACTGGTCACACTCACCACTATACATTGGTCACACCGCTACACACTGGTCACACCACTACACGCTTCTTACACCACTATACACTGGTCACACTCACCACTACACACTTGTTACACCACTACACACTTCTTACACCACTATACACTGGTCACACCACCACTACACACTTGTTACAAACCCAAAACACACTTCTTACACCACTATACACTGGTCACACTCACCACTACACACTTGTTACACCACTACACACTTCTTACACCACTATACACTGGTCACACTCACCACTACACACTTGTTACACCAATACACACTTCTTACACCACTATACACTGGTCACACTCACCACTACACACTTGTTACACACCACTACACACTTCTTACACCACTATACACTGGTCACACTCACCACTACACACTTGTTACACCAATACACACTTGTTACACCACTACACACTAGTCACACTCACTACTACACACTGGTCACACCACTACACGCTTCTTACACCACTATACACTAGTCACACTCACCACTACACACTAGTCACACCACTACACACTAGTCACACTCACCCATGACCACGTACACACTCACCACTACACCCTTGTCACACCACTACACACTAGTCACACTCACCACTACACACTTGTCACACCACTGCACACTAGTCACATTCACCACCACACACTTGTCACACTTCTACACACTTGTCACACCCACCACTACACACATGTTACACACACACAACACTGTCACACTCACCACTACACACTTGTTACACCACATACACACTAGTCATACTCACCCATGACCACGTACACACTCACCACTACACACTTGTCACACCACTACACACTTGTCACACTCACCACTACACACTTATCACACCACTACACACTAGTCACACTCACCACTACACACTAGTCACACTCACCACTACACACTAGTCACACTCACCACTACACACTAGTCACACTCACCACTACACACTAGTCACACTCACCCATGACCACGTACACACCACTACACACTAGTCACACCCATGACCACGTACACACTCACCACTACACACTAGTCACACCCATGACCACGTACACACTCACCACTACACACTAGTCACACTCACCCATGACCACGTACAGACATTTAACACTCTTGCTACAACACTTCTTGGGTCCCACGGTTCACCATCTTTCGAAATTTCAGCAATACCATCAGCCAACAAGTGTCAATAAAGAAACTGGTAGGAAGGAAAACCCTGGGCGAAACGTCGTAATAAGAGGTGTCCCCCTCCTCTACCAGTGTCTGTATTTCCATCTTTGTCTTCAATGTTGATTAGTTAGTAATAACTTTATTTTCCACACATCGAGAGTAAAAATTTATAGTGTTACAATATTCCTTTTATAAATAAAAAATTATTCTTTATTAATTATTTACTAATTATCTTAACTTTATAAGGTACTAAAATTATGGAAACACTAATTAAAACTCTTTTGAATCGTTATTAAATATATAATTATTAGGTTGGTCGTGTCAGGAGTTTACAAGGAGAAAGTACCTATATGCTGGAGAAGGGCTCTTGATCTGGGGAATGGGAGCCGAGTTAGGTAAGATTTGTCAGGAAACAGGTCGTGTTTCCTGTCGCGGGTCTTAGTCATATGATCCGCAGCTGGAGCTTTTGGTCATCTGACGGAGGCCTTCCGCTGGCTTACCCCTCCATCCCTTTAAAACTTACGGTTGTGATTGTAACCAATTAATGGGAGCCACCCTGTCCCCTCCCTCGGATAAAACCTGTTTGCTTCCCATCCCTCTTAGGCGCTGTGTGATCCTTGTGGGTTTAGCGTTTCCCCGTGAATGTGATAATGAAGGTGAGAGAACATGTGATGGGAGCCACGCCATGTTGGATATGTTGACACAGTTAATATTGATGATGAATGTTTATTGTACAAATAACACGCACGGGGGTGAGGGAGACTTATGACGACGTTTCGATCCGTCTTAGACCATTAACTAGGGTAAGATTCCAGAGGTGTCTAGTCTGTGGTCCAAGTCTGACCGAAACATTGTCAAAGTTCGTTCTCTTATGTGCGGGTTATTTATGTATTGTTGCAGTCACGGTGTTGTGGCTGTTGTTCAGAGTTGATGTTGTGAGTATTGGAATAACGTTGTTTGTGTGTGTCAGTGGTGAGGAGACCGTGACAGAGATGATGCAGCGAGCTCTCAAGTGGTGTTCAACTACTGAAGGTGTCACACTGCTCAACCTGCAGGTGGGTCCTCACTCCTCAGGTACCTTAAAGTAGGACCTTGCCCTTCAAGCACTCATACTCACCCTAAAGTGAGACCTTACCCTTCAAGCACTCATACTCACCCTAAAGTGGGACCTTACCCCTCATGTACTCGCACTTAAAAACTCGCTGTTCTCTCTAACCTTTCGGTCACCCTAACTTCGTCTCCCATCCTTTAGTCACCCTGACCTCCTTACCTACCCTTTAGTCACCCTGATCTCGTCTCCCACCCTTTAGTCACCCTGACCTCGTCTCCCACCCTTTAGTCACCCTGACCTCGTCTCCCACCCTTTAGTCACCCTGACCTCGTCTCCCACCCTTTAGTCACCCTGACCTCGTCTCCCACCCTTTAGTCACCCTGACCTCGTCTCCCACCCTTTAGTCACCCTGACCTCGTCTCCCACCCTTTAGTCACCCTGACCTCATCTCCCACCCTTTAGTCACCCTGACCTCCTTACCTACCCTTATCAGTGGTGATAGGATTCTACCTCTCTCTCACTCTGTTTACAAATTCTTTGTTTTGATGTGAATGCTTGAATCACGATATCCCAGGTGACCAACTGAACATGATATTCAATTTTGAATTTAAAATATTCTTGCAAGTAGCATTATGAATGCCATTACTGAGGTCTGGCAGTGAGTGTGATACTTGGTGGTGTCGTCTGTTGGTGTCTTAGACGGTTTTTGTGACTATCAGAATAATGTGAACGATCTCATTAATAAAGTCACTAACTTGTCACCTGGGGAGGGACACTGTCGCCTTGGGAAGTACCTGGAGCCACTATGCTAACAACAGGGAGTACTTCAAGGCCGTAAAATATTCAAGTTGTTGCAAATAATATGCACTCGAGTTGTAAATCGATTATAAGAGGAAAGTAGTTTAGATTTTAACGCTAAAGCGACTAGTTTGAGGGGCACCTAAATTCCCCAGTCTTCTAATAACATGTTTATTTTTCTACTATAATTATCCTTGTCCATAATTACTATCACATTTACTTTGTCTGTTTCGTAAGGTGAAGTCTAGAATCTTTCCTTAATTCATGGTATAACTTAACAAATCTTTGATGACAATTGTGTTGTAGAAGTCTGACCTCTACAACACAATTTTCATCAAGGTAGATTATAGTGGAAAAATAAACATGTTATTAGAAGTCTGGAGAATTTACGTGTCCCTTAATGTTCACCCCATGTCCATGGTGTGTGTGTTTAAGGTTTGGTTGTATTAACACTAAGTTCAACTGGTGCTGAAAAATAGTGAAAATGAATCTAATGTATTCTTTGATATATGGTATAATTACTGTAAGTAAAAAGTGCTCGACTGTCAACGAAACCTGACAAGTTGCACACATAGGTTCCGGATGTGTCCTCTTGTAACTGTGTGTGTTCGCTGCCTGATGTAACGTAAATTATATAGAATCGTCTACCTGGAAATTCGAAATTAAATGACTGATAAATTCACGGTGACTGAAGTGTACGTGAGCACACATTACGGTGGTTCAGAATGTTACCTCAGGCACCTCTAGAGCACTCATGCACTAACACGTAGTACATCTTTCATCTCACGAAGCTGAATGTACTTACGCAGAATGTCATATACATACATTATATATATATATATATATATATATATATATATATATATATATATATATATATATATATATATATATAATATATATATATATATATATATATAATATAATGCTGTTGCTTTACTGCCCCCCACAAAGGGGGCAGTAAAGCAACATCAAAGAACTACAGACCAATAGCACTAACATCCCATATCATAAAAATCTTTGAAAGGGTCCTAAGAAGCAAGATCACCACCCATCTAGAAACCCATCAGTTACACAACCCAGGGCAACATGGGTTTAGAACAGGTCGCTCCTGTCTGTCTCAACTATTGGATCACTACGACAAGGTCCTAAATGCACTAGAAGACAAAAAGAATGCAGATGTAATATATACAGACTTTGCAAAAGCCTTCGACAAGTGTGACCATGGTGTAATAGCGCACAAAATGCGTGCTAAAGGAATAACAGGAAAAGTCGGTCGATGGATCTATAATTTCCTCACTAAACAGAACACAGAGAGTAGTCGTCAACAGAGTAAAGTCTGAGGCAGCTACGGTGAAAAGCTCTGTTCCACAAGGCACAGTACTCGCTCCCCATCTTGTTCCTCATCCTCATATCCGACATAGACAAGGATGTCAGCCACAGCACCGTGTCTCCTTTGCAGATGACACCCGAATCTGCATGACAGTGTCTTCCATTGCAGACACTGCAAAGCTCCAGGCGGACATCAACCAAATCTTTCAGTGGGCCCGCAGAAAACAATATGAAGTTCAACGATGAGAAAATTTCAATTACTCAGATATGGTAAACATGAGGAAATTAAATCTTCATCAGAGTACAAAACAAATTCTGGCCACAAAATAGAGCGAAAAAACCAACGTCAAAGACCTGGGAGTGATCATGTCGGAGGATCTCACCTTCAAGGACCATAACATTGTATCAATCGCATCTGCTAGAAAAATGACAGGATGGATAATGAGAACCTTCAAAACTAGGGAGGCCAAGCCCATGATGACACTCTTCAGGTCACTTGTTCTATCTAGGCTGGAATATTGCTGCACACTAACAGCACCTTTCAAGGCAGGTGAAATTGCCGACCTAGAAAATGTTACCGACGACAACTTTACGGCAGCGCATAAAAAACGGCAGATAAAAACAACCCAAAATCTTGGGAGCGCTTGAAGTTTCCTGAGCCTGTATTCTCCTGGAACGCAGGAGGGAGAGATACTTGATTATATACACCTGGAAAATCTTAGAGGACTAGTACCAGAATTTGCACACGAAATCAACTCACTACGAAAGCAAAAAGACTTGGCAGACGAGCACCATCCCCCTTGAAAAGCAGGGTGTCACCCTAGCACGTTAAGACACCCTACAATTAGTGTCGGGGCACGTAGTCTGTTCAAACTGCCTCACATGCAAACATAAGGGGGATTACCAACTCAGACCCTCTGGCAGCTTCAAGCTGGCACTGGACAAGCACCTAAAATCAGTTCCGGATCCAGCCCCCCCCTGGGCTGTGGCTCGCACGTGGTTTGCGTGCAGCAGCAGCACAGCCTGGTTGATCAGGCTCTGATCAACAGGAGGCCTGGTCGGGATCCGGGCCGAGGCGGGCGTTGACCCCCGGATACTCTTTCCAGGTAAATCTCAGGTAATATTATATATATAATATATATAATTTAGGTAGTATTATATATATATATATATTTATTTCATATAATATTTATTATATATTATAATATATGAGGACCTTAATCCAACCCTGTCACTGAATAAACACTTCCACTCCACACCTTTTTGTTTTTTTTTGTTTTTCCCTTTTTCGTTATTAGGTACTGTTGCTAAAGCCGGGCGACGCGACTACAGCCTCGACTTGGCTGCTGGAGTTCCAGGGACACGTCGTCAACAAGTTCATTCTTCGTCCGCGTCGCATACACGCTTGGTGGATTAATGATGTGAAGGAGAACGAAATACTGGCGGAAGATGATGCCTCTGCGGGGACGAAGCACATGTCGAGGCCTACTGCAATGCAGGCGACACGGGGCAACTGATGATCATGCTAGTGGGTGAGGTGTGTGAGACTTGGAAATCCTATCTCTTGTACTCGCTAGCCCTTGACAGGAGTGGAGAGTCAAGGTGCTCGTACTCAAGCCTCCTAAATATCGTTTTGAGGGACCTTGAATTATAATAATGTTCTTCTTTATGCACATCTCCACATTTTTTGTGATGTTTTTTTTCGGGGGATTTATTGCTGGTGTGATGGTGGTCCACAGTAGTTATGTGCTTTGTATTTAGTGATATGTATATGAGTCACATGTGGCAGGTGTTGTCGTGCTGTGACTGCGAAGTATGTGTTTCATTTTAGTCACTCCCACCCACACTTCTGGGCGCTGGGAGTGGGATCCTTGTAGTCTTAGGGCTGTACGAGTGGTGACGCTGGGCAAGAATTGTGGGGGGGGCGGGGGTTTTGATCGGGCGCTTAATCGCGCGACGGGGGGGGTTGATGGTTTTGGTAAGGGAGGATCCGCTGTTGTGTGTGTGTGTGTTGGTGTGTGTGTCGTTGGTGGTGTGTGTTCGTGATTGTGTGTGTGTGTGTGTACGGTGTGTGTTGATGTTGTGTGTGTTTGTGTTTGTGTGTGTGTGTGTCGTGTGTGTTTGTGTGTTTGTGTTTGTTGTGTGTGCTGTTTTGTGGTTTGTGTGTTGGTGTTAGTGTTTGATGTGTGTGTTTTTGTGTGTGTGTTTCGTGTGTGTGTGTTTGTTGGTGTGTGTGTGTGTTTAGTGTGTGTGTGTGTTGGTGAGTCGTGTTTGGGGTGTGTGTGTGGGTGTGTGTGTGTGTGTGGTGTTGTGTGTGTGTGTGGGTGGTGTTGTGTGGGTGGTGTCGTGGAGCGTGTGTGTGTGTGTGAGGTTTCGTGTGTGTGTGTAGTGTAGTTGTGGTGTGTGGGGGTGTGTGTGTAGTGTCGTTGTGTGTGTCGTGGTGGGGGTGTGTGTGGTGTGTGTGAGTGTGTGGGTGTGTGTGTAGTGTGTTGTGTGTGTGTGTGGGTGTGTGTGTGTGTGTGTTCTTGTGTGTGTAGTCAGTGGGTGTGTTGTGTGTGCTGTGTGTGTGGTGGGGGGGTGTGTGTGTGTGTGTGTTTTTGTGTGGTGTGTAGTGATGTGTGTGTGTGTGTGTCAGTGGGTGTGTGGGTGTGTGTGTTTGTCGCTGTGTGTGTGTGTGTGTGTGGAGTGTGTGTGTGGTAGAAGGTGTGGTGTGTGTGTGTGTAGCTAGTGGGTGCTGGGGTTGTGTGTTGTGTTGTGTGTGTAGTGTGTTGTGTGTGTGCTGTGTGTGTGTGTTTGTGTGTGTTTGTGTGTGTTTGTGTGTGTGTGTGTGTTGTTTGTGCTGTGTGTGGTTGTGTTTGTGTGTAGTGTGTGTGTGCTTGTGTGTGGGGTTTGTGTGGTGTGTGTGTTGTGTGTGGGTGTGTTTGTGTGTGTGTGTGTTTGTGATGCTGTGTGTGTGTGTGTGTTTAGTGTGTGTGTGTGTGTGTGGTTTCTTTAATCTACATATTATATATTGTTGTGTGTGTGTGTTGAGTTGTGGGGTGTGTGTTGAGGTGTGTTTGCTTGTGTTGTGTAGTTCGTGTGTGTGTGTAGTGTTGTGTGTGTAGTGTGAGTGTGCTGCTTGTGATGTATGGTGTGTGGTGTGTGTGTTGTGTGTGTGTGTTTGCTGTGTGATGTGTGTTGTCTGTGTGTGTGTGTGTGTGTGTGTTTGTCGAGTTGTGTGTTGTGTCGTGTTTGTGTGTGTGTGTTTGGTTTTGTCTGTGGGTGTTGTGTGGTGTGTGTGTGATGTTTTGTGTGTGTGTATTGTTAGTAGGTGTGTGTGTGTGTGTGTGTTTTGTGTGTGTGTGTTGTGTGTGTGTGTGTGTAGTGTTTGTGTGTGTTGTTGTGTGTGTGCTGTGTGTGTGTGTGGCTGTTTGTGGTGATTGCTGTGTGTTTGTGTTCTGTGTAGTGTGTGTTGTTTGTGTGTCGTGTGTGTGTGTGTGTATAATGTGTTTGTTGTGTGTCGATGTGTGTGTGTGTCTTTATATTTATAATATATTTTTTTATATACTTATAATTTATATTTTTAAATATATTTTTATATTTATATATATATATATATTATTATTATATTTATAGATTTATTTTATATATTTAAATAATTTATATTTAATTAATATATATATATATTTATATATATATTTTTTTTATATATATAATTATTTTATATTTATTTTATATATATTATATATATTTATATAACATATATTTTTATATATTTTATATATATATAAATATTTATATATATATATATATAATTATTCTATATATATTATATTATATATATTAAATGATATTTATATTTTCATATATATATCATATAAATTTATTTTTATTAATATATATATATTTATTTTTTTCTTATATATTTATTTATATAAATATTTTTTTATTTATATTTTTTATATATCATGATATATTTTTTATATATAAATATCATGTTTTTTTATTTATATATATTTATATATATATATTATATATATTTATATATAAATATATATATTTAATATATTATAGAATTATTGTTATATATTATTATTTAATTATATATATATATATTTATAATTAAATATTTATATTTTTATATAAATTATATATTTAATTTAATATTTATATATTATTATTTATTTATTTATATATATTATTATATTATATATATATATTTAAATATATATTTTAGATAAAATTTATTGTATATATATATATATATATATTTTATTGATTAAATATTTTTATATATTTATATATATTAGATATTTAGAAATATTTAATTTTTATATATATACTTTATATTTTATATATGTTGTAATAATATTTTATTAAATATGTATAATATATATATATATATAATTATGTACTATTAGAGATACTATACACAATAGCCCAAAGACTCATGAATCGTGGTATGCAAACGTAGAATTAATTGTCATTATTATTTTTGTAGTATGAGGTACGGAGATGAATTCTAGCGGCCTCACTGACGTGGAGACCAGTGACCATAACCATTATGCTACGTTGTGTCAACAATCGTTCTATCGGAGTCTTTTTTTTTTTTTTTTATTCGCCGGTACTTTCTCCGCCGGGTCTTTTCCATGATAGTGGTGACCCGCGCCTTGGCTCCCTATTGGGGTGTGTCTACGTGTCTTATTGTTCTCCTTGGGGGTGGTATTCAAGTTCCCCTCATCTGTGGGACCAAGTGTCACCAGGTCTTGACTCATTCCTCGCCACATCCTACGGGGGCTCGTTGGGTGATGCTTGGGCCGAGGGTCTGCCTTTCGGGCCCCTCCCCTATGGCGGCTAGGGGGGTGGGCTGGACGGTGGTGCGGCTGGAGGGTGCTTTTTTTAAGGGGGATCTGGCAGGCGGAGGTGCGTTCCCTTGGGCGGGTGGATGGTGAGGTGAGGGGTGTTGTTGTTGGCTGGGGGGAGGGAGGGCATGGTGGTAGGGGTGTTTGGGTATCACATCTTGGGAGGGTTAGGGGTGTGTGTGTTGTGTGTGAGTGGGTTGGTATGTGTGTGTGTATGTGTGTGTTGTGGAGTCGTGAGGCTGTATGTGTGTGTGTGGTGATGGGCTGTATCAGTGTATGGGTGTGTGTGGGGTGTGTGTTGTTGATGTGTGTGTTGTGTGGGTGTGTGTGTGTGTGTCTGAGTGTGTGTGTGTGTGTGTTTTGTGTGTAGTGGTGTGTAGTAATGGTCGTGTGTGTGTGAGATGTGGAGTGCGTGTGTGTCGAGTGTGTGTGTGTGTGGGTGGTGTGTTGGGTGGGTCGTGTGTGTGTGGGGTGTGTGTGCGAGTGTGGGTGTGCATCGTGTGTGTGTGTGTGGGCTTGTGTGTGGGCTGTGTGTTGTGTGTGTGTAGTGGGTGTGTGTGTGGGTGTGTAGTGTGTGTGTCGTGTGGGGTGTGTGTGTTGTGGGTGTGTGTGTGTGGGTAGGTGTCGTGTGTGTGTAGTGTGTGTGGGTGTGTGTAGTGTGTGTGAGGGTGTGGTGTGTGTGTGTGGTCGTGGAGTGTGTGTGTGTGGGATTAGTGGTGGTGGGTGTGAGATGTGTGTGTGGGTGTGATGTGTGTGTGTGGAGTGAGTGGTGTTGTGTAGCTGTGTGTGTGTGGGTGTGTGTGTGTGTGTGGGTAGTGTGTGTGATGCTTGTGGGGGTGTGTGTGTGTGTAGGTGTGTGTGTGTGTGTGTGTGGGTGTGTGTGTGTGTGTGGGTGGGGTTGTGTGTGTGTGTGGGTAGTGTGTGTGTGGGTGTGTGTGTCGTGGGTTGTGTGTGTGGTTGAGTGTGTGGGTGTGTTTGGTCGTGTGTTACGTGTGTGTGGGTGTGATGTGAGAGTGTGTGAGGTGTGTGTTGTGTGGGTGGGTGTGTTGTGTGTGTGTGGGTGTGTGTGTGTGTGTGTGTGTGGGTGTGTGTGTGATGTGGTGGGCTGCGCTGTCGTGTGTGGTGTGTGGGGTGTGCTGTGGTGTGTGTGAGGTGTGTTGTGTGTGTGGTGGTGTGTGTGTGTGTGTGTGGGTATGTGTGTGTGTATGTGTGTGAGGTGTGTGTGTGTGTGGCGTGTGTGTGTGTGTTTGTTCGGTGAGTGTGTGTGTGTGTGGGTCGTGGTGTGATGTGTGTGCTGTGGGTGTGTAGTGTGTGGTGTGGTGTGTGCGGTGTTGTAGGTGGGGTGTTGGGTGTTGTTGTGTGTGGGGTGTGTTTGTGTGTGGGTGTGGGTGTGTGTCGGGGTGTGTGTGTAGTGTTCGAGTGTAGTGTGTGTTGAGGTGTGTGTGTGTGTGTGGAGTGTGTGTTGTGTGTGTGGGTGTGTGTGTGTGTGTGTGTGTGGGTGTGTGAGTGGTGTGTGTGTTTGGAGTGTGTGTGTGTGGGGGTCGTGTGTGTGTGTGGTGTGTGTGTGGGTGTGTAGTGTGTGTGTAGTGTGTGGGTGTGTGTGGTGTAGTGTGGCTGATGGTGTGAGTGTGTGTGGGTTTGTGCGTGTGTTGGGTGTGTGTGTGTGTGTGGAGTGGTGTTGAGAGGTGTGTGTGTGTGTGTGTGGGTGTGTGTGTGTGTGTGTGGGTGTGTGTGTGGTGTGTGTGGGGTTTTGGGTGTGAGGTGTGTGTGTGTGTGTGGGGAGAGTGTGTGTGTGTGTAGTGTGGTGTGGGTGTGTTGTGTGTGTGTGTGGGTGAGTGTAGTGTGTGGGTGTGTGTGTGTGTGTGTGTGTGTGTGTGTGTGTGGGTGTGTGGGTGTGAGTGAGTGTGGGTGAGTGTGTGTGTAGTGTGTGGGTGTTGAGTGTGTGTGTGGGTGGCTTTGTGTGTGTAGTAGTGTGGGTGTGTAGTGTGTGTGTGTGGGGTGGTGTAGGTGTGTGTGTGGGTGTAGTGTGTGTGTGTGTTTGGGTGTGGTGTGTGTGTGTGGGTGAGGGTGTGGGTGTCTTGTGGGTGTCGTGCTGTGGTGTGCTGGTGGGTGTGTTGTGTGTGTGTGTGTGGGTGTGAGTAACTAGTGATGTGTGGTGTGGTGGGTGTGTGTGTGTGTGCTGGTGTGTGGGTGTGGGTCGTGTGTTGTGTGTGGGTGTGTGTTCGTGAGTGTGTGGGTGTGTGTGTGAACTGTGTGTGGTGGTCGTGTGTTGTGTGTGTGTGTGTGGTTGTGTGAGTGTGTGTGTGGGTGAGGTGTGTGGGTGTAGTGTGGGAGTGTGTGTGGTGTGTGTGTTTGTGGGTTGTCGTGTGTTGTGGGTTGTGTGTAGGTGTGAGGTTGTGGTCATAGTGTGTGTATGTGGGGTTCGTTGTGTGTGTGTGTG